GTACCACAGTGGGGCTGGGTGGGGCTGGGGGACCTGTCCCCATGGCCCTTTTTGGGCCTACTGCTTCAGTATGGTGTCACATACCTATAATTTCAGTACTTGGGAAGCTGAGACACGAAGAATTGTGTCTAGGCCAGCCTGACCTATATAGAGAGACCCTGTTTCAAGAAAACAGAACAAAAAAACTAACCAAGATGTCTTTGGTGCTAGTATGTCAGCAGGCTGAAGGACGCTGTGAGCCATGGGGTGACAGGCCTGGGATTACTCCTGATAAGACCCATAATAGCTTGGGCCAGGGCTGTGGCTCAGCTATAGAGCACCTCCCTAGAATGCCCCAGTGAGGGGCTGGGGTGTGGCTTGGTGGTAGAGCACTTTGCCTTGGTTCTACCCTCAGCATCAGAAAAAGAACCAAGAGCTTAGAGTTGTTTCTGAACGTACATCTGGGTCCCTGAGGCCCACTTCAAGCTTTATATCATGTCCTTAGTCCTGATATGACCAACAGGACTAAGGACATGATTCCTCAGCTTGCCTGAGCCATGGATCCTAGGCTCCTCTGAACATTAGATCTTCCTGTGACAGTCCTGAGGAGTTAGCCGTGTACAGATGGAAAGGCTCAGGGCATGATGCATGGACACATAGGTTGATGCAAGAGGCTCAGGAGCGCAAGGCCAACCTGCAGTGCACAAGGCCTTGCCTCAAACGGACGAACAAACAGGGCAAGTAGAATAGCTTATCATGTGAAGGAGTTTTCTGCACAAGTCTAATCCCTGAGTCCACGTAAAGGTAGCAGGAAAGAACAGTTCCGTATAGCTGCCCTCTGACCTCCACGTGCATGGGCACACACAGAAACACATTAATGAATAATTAGCTAAATAAAAACCACTTAGGACTCTGATCAGGCTCCTGACCCACTCTCCACTGCAAGTTCGCATAGAGAGAGTCTGACTCAGGCCCGCAGTAGCCGCCCAGCTGCCGTCCTGTGGAGGAGTTTACTCAGGGTGGGAAGTGGGGAGGGAGAACCAAGTCTCACAGTAGTTCCTGAGGCCTGGTTCCTTGTCCACTTCACGGCTGTTGTGTGTAGGGAGGTCTGTGAGTGTGACTCCCATGCGCCCTTCTCCCTACATCTTGCCAGTTGAGTGAGCTCCTGGTGCACAGTGCAGCCTAGTGCACCGTTGAGGTCCAGTTTCTTCGAGGTGAGGCTGTGTGGGTGCCAGCCTCCCCTGCATCTGGACATGGCTGTGCAGCTGTGCTGGGAACTGCTGGCTCATTCCGTCCCATCACCCTGTCTAGGATGGGAGTCTGCAGTGTCCGTCTTGCAAAGCCATCTATGGGGAGAAGACTGGGACACAGCCCTGGGGGAAGATGGAGGTGTTCAGGTTCCACATGCCCCTGCCGGGCCACGAAGACTGCGGGACTATCCTCATTGTCTACAACATCCCTCACGGCATCCAGGTGAGAGGCAGCCCCCCAGGGGCCGGTGAGAATCGCTGTCCCTCCCTGGACACCTCCCTGCCCACCGCCTGTGCTGCTGTCAGCCTCCGCACCACGTATGGGGGTAGGACTGCCCCACCGGGAGGAGTGCTGGGGTATTGAGGAATGGAGTTCTTCGGCCTTTCCTTGAGGGAGGGAAGGCTTCCCATAGGAGAAGACATCTGGCCTCGTGTGGTCTGTAAAGGCATGAAGTGCAATCACTGTGCTTGGGAACTGGAGAGTTGGGGACTCATGGGTATGCTGTGTAGGTGGTGGGGTACAGGGCAGGAAGGCTGAAGGGGGCAGGAATCTTGTTCCTAAGGGACTCGGTCCTGAGGCTCCATGTCAGAGACCCAATTCAGGGGGTTCATGAAAAAAGGCAAGCAAAGCAGGATTACCCATCCTTGCCCTTGGCAGAGTTCACAGTGTCCTTTGGAAAAAGGACGTTGCCAGGCCAGTGGGCACACGTTAAAAACAGGTGCTTATGGCTGACAGGCCACACTCACTTTGAGTGTTGGCGCAGGAGTGGACCAAGCTTGGAAGGCTAGGCTGTGGACGAGGCTTCCTATCCTGGAGCTGCGGCCAGCCACAGTCCCACCATCAAATTGTCTGCATTCCTCTCACAGGGACCGGAGCACCCCAGCCCTGGGAAACCGTTCACTGCCCGAGGCTTTCCCCGCCAGTGCTACCTACCAGATAACCCTCAAGGCCGAAAGGTAAGCCCCCTACCCTGACCCCATTTGCTTCCCCTCCCCAGGGACCCACCATGAGTCCAGGAGACGTGACTGGGACAGTGGCTCCAGAGAGCAGAGCTGGGCTCCATGCTGTGTCAGCATGGTGAGCAGCCACAGGAGACGCTGAGGACACCCCAGGCTGGGACCTCAGCAAGGACTTAGAGGCCAAGAGAGCCTTCCAGGTCCATACTACAGCTTTGGGGTCTTGGATGTGGGCATGGAGAAGGGCCAGCTCAAACCATAGGCTGAGGAAGCTGCAGGCCTGCTGCAAGCCAGACCATCTGAGACCACTGCAAGTGGAGCTCTTTTGGCCACTGGGTGTAACTTGGTTGGTAGAGTGCTTGCCTGGGTGCACAGAGCCCCATAAACTGAGCACAGTGGCATCTTTCTACAATCCCAGCACTTGGGAGGTGAGGCAGAAGCATCAGGAGCTCAAAGCCAACCTCAGATTCATAGTGAGGCCCCAATTCCTCCTCTGAAAATAAAACACTGAAGCTCTTTCAGCTACTGGATCCTGGGCTGGATTCGTTGTTTGTTTTCCTTCTATTTGGGGTACAAGGCTGTGAGCCACGCAGTGGCTTTCATATGGAAATTGTGAGACAGCTCTGGACTCTCTTCTTTTCCCTCACCATAACATGGATCCTGAGCATCAGGCCCTCAGGTTTGTGTAGTCCACTGTGCCATCTTGCCAGCCAGATAAACTGTCCCTTCTGAGCTGGAGTTGCCAGACAGGCACTCTCCCACTGAGTTCCACTCCTTGCCATCTGTGGAGGACCTGTGAGGGCAGGGCCCTGAGGGAGGAAGGGAGGGAGGGAGGCAGGCAGGCAGGCAGGCAGGCAGCTGGTCTAATCATATTTGAAGGGAAGGCCATTTGGAGGGTGGTCCTAAGGTGGGGAGGGCTGGCCTGGGTCGGGTGGTGTGCAGTGCTCCAGGAACCCCCACGCATGGCTCAGTGCCTGGGATCACGTGAGCTACCTCATGGGCCGAGGGCAGTGTGGCAGAGCTGAGCCCCAGTGGTTGTCAAAGGGGCTTGCTTCCCTCTTCCTGGCAGGTCCTGGAGCTTCTGAAGGTGGCCTGGAAGAGACGACTCATCTTTACTGTGGGGACTTCCAGCACCACGGGTGAGACTGACACAGTGGTGTGGAATGAGATTCACCACAAGACCGAGATGGACCGGAACCTGACAGGCCATGGCTACCCAGACCCCAACTACCTGCAGAACGTGCTGGCTGAGCTGGCTGCCCAGGGAGTGACCGAGGACTGCCTTGAGCAGCAGTGACCCTTCAGGCCTGCCTCTGTGGACCACCCTAACAGCCCCTGATTGGGCGGGCAGGAGGGTGTGTCTTTGTTGAGAGGCAAGAATGTTTGTTGGGGTACAGGATTCAGCCCCTCTTGGGGCTTCTTGCCTCTGCTGCCACCCTCCTATTTGGGCTAGCGTCTGCCTGGAGAGTGGGCACCCTCAGTATTGTACTTGTGGAGGCTTACGCTGGAGCTACCTCAGTACACAGGTGGGAACAGCCCTTCCAGCCTCAGGCCGGCTGGTGACCCAGCAAGGGCTGAGCAGGGCCTACCCTCCCAGCTTCTGGTCAGCTTCTCATACCTCAGATTTTATTTGCAATAAAGATCCTATAGCCAACATGCCCCCTCTGTGTGTGTGTGTGTGTGTGTGTGCGCGCGCGTGCGCGTGTGTGCGTGCGTGTGCGCGCGCGCGATGACCCCTTGTGTGTCACACTTAGCCCCCAGCAGCTACCCCTATTCTGATCATACAGCCTCTTCTACAGAGCGCTGCTCACACAGGCTGCACTGCCTCCCTGTCGCCAGTCAGGCTGTTCAGAGGACTGGGGACTGGACAGGGACCTTCTGAGGTCACTGTCTGAGGGCCTGGCTTTTGAGACTGAGCTCACTGCTGAAACCGCGTGATCCTTTTGCCTCACCCCGGTGGCACTGAGATTGCAGGTGTGCACCACCACCCATGGCAGCTTCCTGTTTTTTGTGGTGGTGGTCTTTTTACTTACTAACCTCTCTCATTGGCCCCTCCCCTTCTACTAACCCCATCTCCGTAATAAATCCCCTTCCTACTTTCTAGTTTTTGCAAGCTGCAGAGTTTCATTAGAGTTGCTTGCACAACCATGGAAGGAGGGTTATTTACAGAAACGTGGGTAGACCACTGGAGAAAAAAAATGACTCCCTCTTCTCTGGCGATCACTACACCTGTGTACAGCCTCCCTATGCGTGATGGGCTGTTGCTCGGTAACCACAGCTGCTGTAACCTCATGCGTGCAATGGCTGTGTCATGTCCAGAAAACAACATTTCACAGCTCTTCTGTCCAGCTTCTGGCTCTTAACTCTTTCTTCCCCCTCTTGCTTGTGTGAGTTCAAAGGGACATACTGTGAGCCCAAGACTCACATAAGTTAGCTCTGGGGAAAAGGCCATTGATTTCCTGGGCAGAACCCCTAACTCTGTACCCCAGACCCTGACCTTGCACTGCCCCAGGACGGCATTTGGTCACCCTCTGGGCTCTTACGGGCCATTGAAGGGCAGCAAGATTCAGGGAGAAGATGCCACAGATCCCACCCTGCTGAGGGAGCAGTGTCACAATAGGAGCTGTCAGCGTGCAACAGTAAAAGAGCAAAGTAAAAATGGACCAGGGTGCTAGGAGGCTCAGCAGGTGAGAGCAGTGACTGCCTTTCCACAGGACCCACGTTTGATCTCTAACACCCCTTCATCAGGCAGCTTAGAACTGCTTGTATCTCCAGCCCCAGGAGAGCAATGCCCTCTTTTATGCATGCACAGACATAATAATTTTTTTTTTTTCAAGACAGGGTTTCTCTGTGTAGCCCTGGTTGTCCTGGAACTCACTCTGTAGACCAGACTAGCCTTGAGATCTACCTGCCTCCTAAGTGCTGGGATTAAAGGCATGTCCCACCGCCACCCAGCATTTTTTTTTCCCTGATAGGGTAGAGACATGGCTCTGCAGTTAAGGATACATACTGTTGTGGGAAACCTGACATCAGTTCCCAGCACCCACATTGGATGACTCACAACTGCCTGTAACTCAGCTCCAGGACATCCAGTGCCTCAGACCTCCAAGGGCACTGGCATAAGCCCGTACCCATGCAGTCACAGGGACTGGAGGCATGGCTCAGTGCTAAAGCACTCGGCTGCTTTTCATGAGGCTTTTGTTCCCTAATCTAAAAAGCAGTGGGCATAAGAACCTGAGTAAAGTGGGGTAAATGACTGTCAAGTACCCGAATCAATGCTGTGTGACTGACTGGGAGTGGGACTCAAGAGTAGGCACTAGAGCAAGCCGTCCTCAGCCCTCCAGAGGACAAGGTGGGAAAGGCTCCACCAACTCAGGCTATAGAACAAGCTATCTCAAAAACAAGCACGCAAATGTAAGTTCAGTACATCAAAAATAAGTGCTAAAGTATTTGGCCGATTTCGCATTGCTCCTGGGTCTGTAAAACACTACCACTTTGGGATCACGTCCTCAAAAAACTCTCAGAAATTGTATGCAAAATGTGTAGCCATGTACCTAACAGGCCGAAAGTAGAAACACCCCAAATTGCCAGCAGCCCATAGAAAACAAATATAGTATCTGCGTGTGATAGGAGATCCTAAAAAGTGGGAGGTGCTTGTATGTGAGCCCTGCAAAAATGTGCCAAATGAAGAAGCCACACAAGATGGTTGAGGCAGAAGGTGTCCCAGTCCCAGGCCAGCCTGGCTGTCATGGTTCTTTGGTTGTAGTGTTTTTTTTTTTTTTTGTTTGTTTGGTTTCATCCCCAACTCGGTTTTTTCTGGCCTCACTTCACAGACTAGGCTGTCCTTGAACTCACAGTGATCTGTCTTCCTATGCCTCCCTGAGTCCTGGGATTAAAGGCCTGTGCCACCATGCCTGGCTCGTGGTAGTTGTTCTTCAGTTTGTTTTGTCAACTTAACAAACGCTAGATACATTTGGGAAGAGGGAACCTCAGGTGGGAAAACACCCCCAGCAGATGGACCTGTGGACAAGCAAGGGAGGCATTTTCTTGGTTCATGATTGACATGAGGGACGCAAGCCCCCCGTGAGCAGTGCCGCCTCTGGGCCGGTGGGCCGGGGCTGTATAGAAAGCGGGCTGCCATGGGGCACAAGCCAGCAGCAGCGTTTTTCCAGGCATCTGCTTTGGTTCCTCAACGTTACTGCCTTGAGTTCCTGCCCTGCCTGCTCTCTCTGGGATGGAGTGTGACCTGAGAGTTGTAAGCTGGAATAACTCCCCTGGAGCTGCTTTTTGGTCATGGCGTTTTATCATAGCAATAGAAACCCTAATCAAGATACTAAGTAATGCCCAGCACAGTGGACCTCTTGCCTTCAATCCCAGCACTTACTCCTGAGGCGGAGGCAGGCGAATCGCTGTGATTTGAGGCCAGCCTGGTCTATAAAGCAAGTTCCAGGATAACCAGGGGTACACAGAGAAACCCTGTTTCAAACAATATGGAGTGACAGACCTGTCTCAGGAAAATAAACTAAGAGATCTGCAAAATGGCTCTGGGTAGGAGCACTTGCCAGCAAGCCTGATGACCCCAGTTCAAGCTCCAGGCCTCACATTGTGAAAAAAGAAACTACTGACCGATAGTTCATTTCTCATCTCCACAAAAAGACCACGGCACAGACCCCTCCCCTCAGGTGAACACAAATAAATGTACAATAAATAATAAACAAGCACAAGCCGGGCCTGGTCGCACAGGTCCACCAGCTCAATGCTTCATGAAGCTGAGGCAGGGAGATTGCATGTTCAAGATCACCTATGTTTGGGTAGCAGAGTGGCAGAGCGAGTTTAAGGTCCAGCCTGGGCAGCTTAAACAAATCCTGCCTCAGCCATCAAAGTGAAAAGAGAGAGATGGAAGCCAGACACGGTGGCACAGGCCTGAAATCCCAGCTCCCTGGGAGGCAGAAGCAGGTGGATCTCTGTGAGTTCAAGGCCAGCATGGTCTACAGAGTTAGTCCAGGCCAGCCAAGGCTACACAGAGATATCCTGTCTCCAAAAGCCAAAAACAATGAAAAAAGGGGGGAGGCTCACAATTTCCTAGCATGCAGGAGGCCCCTGGGTCCAATTTGGCATAGCCATTTTTGTTAGAAGGTTTGATTCAGCAATTCCTTCAGCTTGAAGATTTAGCTCAGTGGTGGAGTGCTTGTTCAGTGAAGCTTTTGGTTCGAAATAAAAAACTAAAAAGGGTGCCAGTAGAGCGTTGTGGAGTGTTTAGCTGGCAGGCTCCAAGTCCTGTGCTCAGTCTTCAACACAACGATAAAACCCACTGCTATAAAATGTCCATCATAGTCTAAGTGTAGAGAGAAAGTAGTTCTGAATTTGGTGGAGGAGTCTGGAGGACTGAGGATTAACTATGTAAGGCAGTCTTCCCATTTGGGATAAGGAAAGGGATTTAGTATCAGTTTTGATGGCTGGGCAACTTTATAATATATATATTTATACAGACATGGGTATATATGGAGCTACACCCAGGGCCATATGCATGCCAGAAATTGCTCTTTCATTAAACTATCACTAGTGTAATCTTAGGAAAATATTTAGAGCCACCGACCTAGGGCTGTAGAGAATTTGCCTAGAACATTCTAATGAACAGCTCAGGGGGCTAAGTAGTAACGTTTGTCTAGAAACAGTGAAGGGCTGGGTGTGGCTCAGTGGTAGAGCACCTGCCTAGAATTCCCCAGTGAGGGGCTGAGATGTGGCTCAGTGGTAGAGCACCTGCCTAGAATTCCCCAGTGAGGGGCTGGGGTGTGGCTCAGTGGTGGAGCATCTGCCTAGAATCCCCCAGTGAGGGGCTGGGGTGTGGCTCAGTGGTAGAGCACCTGCCTAGGGTTCCCCAGTGAGGGGCAGTGGTTGTGGATCAATGCAGAGCACCTGCCTAGAAGTCCCTAGTGATAACTGTGTAGTGGTTCGAATGTTCCCCATAGGCTCATATATTTGAGTACTTGGCCCCCATTTGGTAGAACTGTTTGGGAAGGATTAGCAGGTGTGGCCTTGATAGAGGAAGTACATCACTAGAAGTGTTCTCTCTCTACCTTCTTGCGAGTCAGTATGCCATCCTGGACTCTAACCCTCCAAACTGTAAGTGCAATTAAGTGCTATCTTTTATATGTTCCTTGGTCATGCTGTTTTGTCACAGCAATAGAAAAGTGACTAAGTCAGCATGGTTGCCTAACACCAACAAGACAGTATGTACCAACCCAAGTCTTCAAAAGCAAACAAAAAGGCACATGTGTGCTGGCATAGTAATGCACATCCAAGTCCCAGAATGTGGAAGAATGAAAGGATCAGGGGTTCAAGGCCGCCTCGACTACCAGCAAGTGTTCCAAGCCAGCTGGAGATTCTTAGCAATATCTGCCTCAAGAATATGCGCGCACACACCAGGCATGGCGGCACACCTGTGGTCCCAGCACACCGGGAGGCAGAGGCAGGACAATCGCTATGAGTTCGCAGTCAGCCTGGTCTACAAAGCCAGTCCAGGACAGACAACGATACGCAGAGAAGCCCTGTCTCAAAAAACAAAACAAAAATCAAAGGGGGAAAAAAACGCGAGCAGGGCTCACACACACACATACTCACAGAGAGTCACTCACCTGTGAGTTTTATAGTAGTAAATGTGAGTTATATATATAAAGAATCCATAGACTGAGGGCTGAGGTGCGACTCGGTTGGCAGGTTGCTTGCCTAGAGTGCACAAAGCCCTGGGTCTCATCCCCAGCACTGTATAAAATAAGCCGCTGGCAGCGCCCAGCTGGGAGCCCAGTTGGGAGGTGAAGGCAGGAGCATCAAGAATTCAAAGATTGCCAGGTGGTGGTGGCACATGTCTTTGATCCCAACACTTGGGAGGCAGATTTTTGAGTTCAAAGCCTGCCTATTCTACAGAGTCCGTTTCAAGACAGCCAGGGCTGCACAGAGAAATACTGTCTCAAAAAAAAATTTTTTTTCAAGGATTGTCATGTGTTATATAGTGAGTTTGAGGCCAGCCTGGACCACATGAGGACCTGTCTCAAAAATAAACTAACAAATAAATTTAAAACTACATAGAACAAGACTCAAGGGATTTGCATAAGCAAAACATGTGTCAGTCGCAAAAGGCTGTTGCGTCTTTTCGGGGTCAAGTTCTTCCCCTGGAGAAGGAAATGGAGGTTCCGAGCTGGGGAAGCTGTGGTTCCATCCGGTGCAGGGCACACGGGGGGCAGCAGTGTCTGGGAGCTGCTTTGGGGCTGGCCCAGGTCAGGGCCAGTCTATCATCGCCCTGTCCCCTTCTCACTTTCCTGGGTGCGGATGGATGGCCAGAGAGTAGCTCCTGGCACCCAAAGTTCAGGAATCTCAGGCATGTGGTTCTGGGTCCAGACAGAGGAGGGTGTCCTCCTCCCAGGGTCAGGGAGTTAAGTGGTACCACAAGCTAGACCTCAGCTTCGGGGTGGAGGTGGCTGGAGGTCATGTGAGGGCCAGTCCTTAAAGCCTCCTTCCTCTTAGGTCTGTAGTGGGCCCCCCCCATGCCCCCCTCCCCCCGCGCTCCGGAAAGGAGCCCACTGAGCCCCTCCCTGTGACGGGCTGCTGCGCTGGGAGGGGGAAAGGGTGAATTCATATTTTCAGGTCTTTCCTGCTCTCCTGGCAGCCTGAGAAAGCAGCAACTGTAGGCCAAAGGTGTTGGAGGCGGGGTGTGCCGAGACCGGCCCCAGAGCCTGGGCAGCCCTGCTGTGGCAGTCATGGCGCTCAGCCGGAGGCAGCCTCACCCCCGGCCTCTGCTTCTCCTGGTGCTGCTGTGGCTCCCCCAAAGCCTGAGTCTGGGTGAGTGGAACCCCCAATGGATGCCCTGGGCCAACCCTGAGGTCTGCGCCCCCGGGAGCCCACCCCGCCTCCGAGCTGGGAGAAGGAGGGAAGGGAGGAAGGCCCCACGGAACTGCCATGCCTGGGTTGCTTCTCCACGGCTGCAGAGCTGATCCCCTACAAGCCGCAGATAACAGCCTGGGACCTGGGAGGGAAGGTTACGGCTACCACCTTCTCTCTGGAGCAGCCTCGGTGCGTCTTTGATGGGCACGCCTCGGCCAACGACACCATCTGGCTGGTGGTGGCTTTCAGCAATGGTGCGTGGTGAGGACTTGTGGGGTCTTGGGGTGAGGGCGCAGGCTGGGAGGGGCTACCCGGGCTTCTTGGAGGATGGCAAGGTCCGTCTCTGGATGTGGGGGTCGGGGTGGTGCGCCGGGCAGATAAATCCAGCCGCCTCCGCACACCGCCCCACCCCCGTTTGGTGAGGCAGCATCTCCTTCAATTTCTGATCTTGCCGCCTCCACCTTTTAAGAGCTGGCATGGTGGGCATGCACAAGCAGGCTCAGTTCATGTGGTACTGGGGTTCGAGGCCAGGCAGAACTTGGGCACCGAGCGTCAAATCACAACCTGCCCTTTTGAGACACTGGCTACTCTTTAAGACGGTGTTCCCCCAACTTTCTAACGCTGAGACCCTTCAGTATAGTTCCTCATGTTGTGGTGACCCCAAAATTATTTCTTTGCTACTTCATAACTGTAATTTTGCTGCCGTGATGAATGCAATGTAACTATGTGACTCGCAAGGTGCCTGATATCATGCCATTTGGTCCCCAGAGGAGGCGCGACCCACAGGGTGAGAACCACTTCTCTGAACACTCCCATTATGTCACCGGGTCCTGGTGATCAGACTCACGTTACGGGGTTTGGCAGCAAACGCCTTTACCGCCGAGCTGTCCACCCTCCTTCTTTAACATACCATATCCAGCGACAGCCCCAGCCCTTGCTCCTGCCTCTACCTGTCCCTTTCTCCTCCAGCCTCCAGGGACTTCCAGAACCCACAGACCCCTGCTAAGATCCCGACCTTCCCCCAGCTGCTGACTGAGGGCCACTATATGACATTACGCCTGACCCTGGACCAGCTGCCCTGTGAGGACCTGGCGGGTGGAGGTGGCGGTGTCCCCGTGCTTCGGGTGGGCAATGACTTCGGCTGTCACCAGCAACTTTATTGCAATGCTCCCCTCCCCAGCCAAGGGCCTTACAGGTGGGTCAGAAGTCCCTGCCTGGGGCTGGGTGTCCTCAGGGAGGGAGGTGGGACTTACCTGTCCCTCCAAAGCCTTCCTCATGACGGTCAGCCCTAACACCTCCCCTTTGTTAGCTGTCCTTTACTTTCTTTGCGTAGTGGGGTGTCAAAAGACCTCAGCAGGTGGTGGCACATGGATCTCGGAGAGTTTGAGGCCAGCCTGGGCTATAAAGTGAGTCCAGGAAAGTCAGGGAAAGAGAGAAACCCTGTAGTGACACACTCATGCAACCCCAGCACTCTGGAGGCAGAAGCAGGAGCCTTTTGAGTTCAAGGCCAGCTGCAGCCTTCAAACAGTGAGTTTGAAGGGAGCTGCTACTGAAGTCCTTGTCAAAACGAGATCAGCCGGCCGGGGCACTGCCGTTTGTATTTGTAGGGTTTATTCTCCATCTATGATGCCCTGGCTCCCCTCACAGCACCACACAAGCCAGGGGTTCTGGTATACACCTCAGTCCCAGCACTCAAGAGGTGAAAAGGTGGGAAGAGCAGGGGTGTAGGTCATTCTCAGGTGCATGCTGAATTCTAGGCTAGACTGGGCTACATGAGACTCTCTCTTAAAAAAGAAGAAAAAGGGGGTCGTTTTTCGATGTATTCTAAGAGGGGAAGGTGAGGTTTCTGGATGAGACCACTGTTCTTGGTCACAAGCAGATCTGACAGAATTCCCAACCCATAGGGCAGATGAAGAAACTGAGGCCCATTGTCCTTGGGCCCACTCGGCTCTCTTCCCAGAGTTCCCACTCCTGATATCTTTTGAGCCAAGTCCTCCCTCTTCCCTGCTCTCTCAGCCCTCTGGGCTCCCAGCAGTCCCTGACCACACCCCTAGTTCTACCCATATGCCTTTGCCAAGGCTCTCTTTTTTTTGTAAGTACCTTGCAAACAGCCAAATTTTGTAATTGTTTTTTTTTTAAGAATTTATTTAATTTTATTTTATGTGTGAAGGTGTCAGATCCCTTGGAATTGGCAGTACAGACAGTTGTGAGCTGCCTTGTGGGTGCTGAGAATTGAACCTGGGTCCTTTTGAAGAGCAGACAATGTTCTTAACCACTGAGCCATTTCTCCAGCCCCTTACCAACGGTCTTAATTTGAGGCATACCCTCTTCTCACATGGGTGGCCCCACAGAATCCAGAGACCTATACTTCTATTTTGTTGTATTGGTATTTAAGCCCAAGAGTTCTAGGCAGGGGCTCTACCACTGAGCCACACCCCAGCCCCTCACTGGGGGATTCTAGG